AATGTACAACGTATATTCAAATTTTTCTTCATTACTCATTCAAGCCGTTTTCAAGCATTATCTTCCTAGGAAGCTTCCGGTTCTCTGGAAATAGGTTTAAACATCGGTAAATACATCCGTAAATTATGGTCGTTATTATAAAGAGGAATATGCTACAAAGCCTGAGTTATTAAATAACATTATTTTTATTGACTCTTTCAGGTTTGGTTTCAAAATAGACGAGCCAAGTGGAGGAAAAAGGAGAACACCAGGAAGGGGCCGGGTCGTCCGGCTCACAATGCGCATCCCCAGACATGCAGTGGGGATCCCATCCCCCCTGAAGACTTGGAACGACGAGATCGAGACAAACGGGAGAAGAAGCTTCGGAAACAGCTAGAAAGGCAGACGAAGCGACTGCAACAATCAAAACTAAAACCTGGTCTCAACATTTCCAGCTCCACGGAATCAATCCATCACAGTCTGAGTGAATTGAGGATGGCAAACCCTTTGAAAGAGCCGAAGGAACTTCTCGGTTCTGAACTGTTTAAACTGCTGGAAGTATTAGGTTTTGATGTCTGTGATATACTGAACAAGGTAGACCTGGATGGTAACAACAATGGCAGGTTTCATCTGGCAGAGAATTTTGGAGAAGAAAATGGAGACACGGTCACAGTGGATATCGACGATGACAACGACGACTCTTCTGAAAGCATGTCTAGCATATCTGAGGACTCTTCCCAGGTTCACTCCCAAAAGCCATGCTCTTTCAGTATTGAGAATATCCTCTCTGACAATAAAAAACACCGTATTCAAAGTCCGGAGGAAAATATTGGGGCGCCATCTTTCGTGAACTCTGTTACTCAACCAATGGGATTTTTTATTCGCACGTCTAGCCCAGGGAACAGCACTTGTCTCAGCAGCCCAGACAGCGGAAGCGAACATAGCATCACTAGTGTTCCATGCAGTCCTGACAATTTAGCGCCACCTAACGAATTCCAACATCACGATGGAACTATTAACTCTATTTCTTCAAAACATTCGGAAGCGTTTAAATTTTTTTCAAAACATATCAAAAAAGATTTAAGTGTTCCCGAATCAAAGAAATGCAAAAATGGTACTGTTTTGGACAAATCTTCTGACCTGAGGCCAGCTGTGACTAACGAAACCGAACTCGAGAGAAGAAAGTTGAATAACAACTCCAGCGATGGGGTCCACTGTGTGTAAAAGCTGACTTTGCTGTCCACTGTATAGATGTTGGCTGCATGGTGCTCATGGTTGATGTGATTTATAGACCAAAAGTGACCCATAATAATGACTTTAAATAGGGTGTTTGATTGTAAATATTACCCAATGAAATGCATGTATTTTCCAAAGATTTGTTTTTGTCGAAACATAGAGCAAATTTTTAATTATTAGGCGCGTTATTACATTTTTTTTTTGAGATTGTAGTTATTAATAGCAACAAAAGTTATCCAAAAATATTACGGATGAAGGCTAAGATACTGAAATTTTCTATGTAATTTAATATAAGAAATTTATTATCTAAGCATTAAGTTTATTCGTTATTAGTTGGTACTAGAACTGAAGGAACTTCAGGTGTAACACTGATTTTAAAAATTGAAGTGGATTTTCACCAAAGTTCTAGCTTTCAGTGTTTTATTCAGTCTTTGATAATCTCTATAAATCAAAATATGTCTTCATTGGGTTTATTCTAGAACTTGTTAGTACTTGTTCGGTTCTCAGACTGTTTCTTCCAGACATTTGTGAAATATTTATTAAGGTTTCTGCCATCTTTTGTTGTTTTATCAGTACTAAATCAGGTAGCGACACTGAACTGTATAACCAATAGATGTCAGTTCAGAAAATTTATTAAGAAACTTGCCAGTCAGTAACGGGCTAAAATAATCACTTAGAAATATCATCGTCAAGTCAAATTTGTATTCCGAAAAAAATACCAATAATTTAAAACTTCTAAAATCGGGCACTAATTTCTAACTTTTTGTAGTATATTATTTCAATATACAATTAAAATAAAATATTTTTTTTTCCATGACAAAAATAGATGAGCTTTGAATACTGTGTCCAACATTTCAATGTTAGAAGGGGACTTTAGAAGATCTGTGAATAAAAACATGATTACTGCTATTTAACATGCTAGTTTATACATGCAAAAAATATGTCTGCAAAAAGGTAAAATAAAACATAGTTCAATTTTTATTATGGCTATTAACAGAACAACTAAGTAGCAGTAATTCTTGAATAGTAGATCACCTTGGTTGCTGACTTTTTTATAGATCATATTGTAACAGAACAACTAATTAGCAGCAATTATTGAATAGTAGATCACCTTGGTTGC